TCATGTCTAGAGTGGTCTCGAGTGATGTCTTGCCATTTGTCGGCAATTTTGCGATCAACTCATGGATTACTGCCAACAGTTTAGCGCCAGTCGTCTCATCTGATCCCTCACTCAACGCCGTCTTCAACGTCTTGCGCAAGAATTTGGTCCACAAATCGTTATCACTGATGATTGTCACCAATTTCTTGCCACTGATGGCGGAGACCAACTCTTCGGCCACTGAATCCAGCGATTCGGGCGCCGATTGGCCGGCGTTCGCATCGCTGACGTCCGCCACAAGAGATTTAATGCATTTGAAATACTTGTGAAACAAATCACTCATTATTTTTAATTGCAATTAAATGTAAATTAAACTCAAATAAAACTTTTCAATAAAACAAATCCAATGTTTTTTCACGCATTTAAAAGTCATATGAAATACACGTGTTTTGAATGCGAGAGTCAGTGGACAACAGATGGCAGCGAAAGCGCTGTCAAAGCGTAACTGTAATCGTAGACCACATCTGATTGTATAATACATTTCCGGCATATATTCCCCCTCTATATTCCCATTACCTCTACATCGCGTGCAATGCGCTAACACTGGGAGCAAAGGCTGGGAATATTGCCAACAATAGCGGGAATATAAGCAATACATATAAATGTAGTCCAATTGAGAGTAGATGTGTATTGTATTTGCAATAATATGTGTTTGAATCGTAAGATTGGTTGCGATTACGAGATCCACGTCTACTGCTCTTCGCGTCTCATATGAGCTAAAAATACTCAACCATTGCATCAGTTGTTTGGCTCAAGACATCCTCTCCTCCTCTCAACGCAATGCTTACGTTATAAGCGATTAGTGTTTATAAATAGTCCAGAGTTTGGGTTTTTTGGTGTCATTCGTGTCATACATATCGCATAGAGTGAGAGATAGTTAACCGTAAGATTAACCGTTAGTATCGGATCAGCTGGTGATCTATAAGCACCACATTTATATAGACGATGTCTGCGGACGTGAATCAGATGCCTATCATTAACGACCAGAACATGATATCCGAGCTGTTCGTGAAGCGCGCCAATGGATCAGCTGTTGAGCCATCGATGAGACAATTGGTGGCCAACAGCGGCGGTCAATCGTTAATTCACTTTCAAAGGGTATACACACTGTTTAAGACATGAGTTTAGTTATCACACATTTGAACACTTATTGGACACACATTTTACAGAAATGTTTAGTGAATCCGACCGACGAAGAGGCGATCCAATTGACCACTCATTTAGTGAATAGATTGGAAGAATCGGGAGAAACCATTTATCTCGTTGGATGTTCTGGTAATGAGATAATTAATTGATGAGTCAAATAGAGTGTGTTTTAATTGCTGTCTCCATGTGTTTATCAGAGTCTGGAGAGAGCGGTCTATCGGAGGATGAGTTGAACGCTTCGGTGGCGAATCTGCACCGATTGGCCGATAAGATAGACTCCGATTGTATAGTATTGAGGCGACGGCGCGGCGACTCCGGTGTGGGTCAAGTGGCCGAGTATTTGGTCCGCAAACGCGCCAAAAGCAATGATTTCCAAGAGGTAAGGGTTGCTGTCGTGGGTAATGTGGACGCCGGCAAAAGTACACTATTGGGTGTCTTAACGCACGGCGAACTCGACAACGGCCGCGGACTCGCCCGACAGAGACTCTTCAGACATAAACACGAAATGGAATCAGGTTTGCATACATTGGACATCAATTGTCTTATTATATATTTATACATTAATCTATAAATAAGAGGAATATATAGTTCAAAGATTAAACTTTAAACAGAGATAATAGCAATAATAGTGGACAAAATCCAAAACAAATTGAGTTTTATTACAATATCTATAATGAATTTATAGGCCGGACATCGAGTGTCGGTAACGATATACTGGGTTTTGATAGTAAGGGAAGTGTTGTGAACAAACCCGACGCACACGGAGGACATCTCGATTGGGTAAAGATATGTGAGGCGTCCTCTAAAGTGATTACATTCATCGATTTGGCCGGACATGAGAGATATCTGAAGACCACTATTTTTGGTAACAATTGCTTTCAAGTGTAATTACTGCTACCAACCCATCCCTTAATAACTACTTATTTTTAAAAAGAGATTTCCTTAAAATATAAAACATTAAATTATAATTTGCTAATTGATATCTCGTTAATAATAAATTCTCAAAAATAATACATTAATAAAACAAAAATCTATAGTATATTAACATTCCGTTCACTAATCATTTAATTGGATACTCTCTTTAATAACTAATAAAATATATCGTAATATGTTTTATAGTATTGAGAAAACACATCACATAATTATTTTTATATAAGAAAAATGATTTCAACAATTCAAAGGGTTAATAACTGGAGTATTTTTTGTATAAATTTAAAATTACATGAATTATGCAAAAAACGATGAAATATTATAGTATATATCGTATCAAAAATGTTTTTTTGTTGAAAAATTATATTAAATTATAATCCCATAGATATTATACATTAAAATATTATTATTGTTAAACATTTAAAATGCTATAAAGATTCTACACATCAAACAAATTGAGAAAAATAGTATATTATAAAAATTAATTTAGATTATATTAAGTCATAACAAAACTATTTAAAGCATAAAATACTGATTCTGGGTATTGAATGTCTTTCACTGTAGAAAAAACTGATGCATAAATAATAGGCAATCATTTCAAAACGCCATAACATTATTATTAACACACAATAAATTGATACGATATTTAAAGGGGGAGAAACACATCTCAACATAATTAGCATAAATATACAATTTATATAAAAAACCAAAAAAATACAGACCACGACAAAACTGATTGTAACTTTCAATCAAAAATGGGTCACAAAACTGTTTAGCCCTCACAGCCTATGGACCGATCAGTGCATCACTAATTTTTTTTGCATTCAGATCCCAATCGCTGCTCATTTTAAGCGTGAATTTTGCTAAACTCTTCGTTCAAATTATATGTATTTTTTACTAAAATCTTTATCAAATTATTAGATGAAAAACAACTGATTATTATTATTATTATTTAAAACGATAATAAAAACTAAAATATATTTTTAATAAAAGACCAGTAATTTTGCGAACGATTTTAGAAGAAAAAAGTTTTTATATATGATTTAATATATAGTTATTGTGAGAAGCGATTTATTAGTGCGTTATTCCGATGACATACATATTCAGATGCGCCCAACCCTTAGACCAAACCATAAAGTGGTTTAATTTTGTTGTTATTTTCTTAATATAATATAAGCAGTCATTGAAATGCAGTCAAAGAAGTTTGTTATGCATTCAAAGGAAGACAACAACTAACAAAAAATTGTTTGCAAAACTTTTATTGCATTCAAACGAGATATTTATTTGACAAAATAAGCGCTCAAACAAACAAAATAACAAATTGTACTCTATTTTGGCACAAAATAATTCATTATTAACTCACAAATCCTTTTATTAATTGATTTTTACGAGTATTTTATTCAGGAATAAATTTTTTCTTCTTTTCGATTTACATTTTAAGCAATATTTTATTACTCTTTCCGAAAGAATTTCTAAAAATAAACTCTAAAAAAACTTTTATTAAGTTTAATGTCAAACACAATCACAATTGAATTGTTTCGTTGACATAGATTGCGCTCCTTTTGGGTCTGATTTCATTAATCAGTCAAATAAGATGTGAAGAACTGAATGCCAAACAAACGGTTGGCGACAAACTCGGTGTCAAATACGCGGGTCCTATAGTTTACACCAATGAAAAGCCGCCGATTGTTTACTTCCCGACACCGCCGACCACTTCGTCTACAGAAGTCAAACCAAACCAACTGAATGGCAGCCTTAAGACCAGTATAGAGTACGTCCCGTTCCCATACCAAGAGTTGCCGGTTCTTATCTATAAGTCCAAAGACAACCCACCGCTTCACGTGGTGTCCGATAATGGGCTCAATAACAGTACAAATCAAGTCAACGCAAACATTGAGAAACGATTGGGTGAGACAAACGTCGGTAATTCACAACGCGGTGGTCGGGCTCTCAAGTGGTCTAACTTTAAATTATTCAATGATATGCCACTTGTGATGAAAGCGCCGAAATGGACAAACGCTGACTCCATTAAAACTGTCAGTCTTTATCCCAATTCATTCGCTGATATCAGTAACAAAACTCAGTTAAACGCCGCCGCAAATACACCCCTATCGATGGCCAGTGCCCCGCATGTGATATATTCAGGTCATCCGCCAATTCATGTCTTTCCGCAGCCGATAATTATAAAAGAGCCCGAAATGTCGGCCGAAATGACCGCCGCTTCAGAAATGTTTCAGTCGCTTAAGAAACCCAATCTCTACGACATATCAATGTCGGCCTCAAACAAACACGAAATCTCTACAAATCCGTCTTCGAGTCAGTTCTACTCCTATGCGGGAACACCTCTGGGCTCAGGAGGCGGTAATGGAGGCAAGAGTTACGGCTTTCGGGTGAAGACCAGAGGCAATAAACACGACACCGATTATTCTGGATCTCAAAACTATGACAATTACGACGAATCCTATTCACCGCAACACTCGGACGGCTCGTCAGAGTCCTCGCAATTGGAGGACAAATTCAAGCCGTCGACTCATTTCTCCAATTCTGGCTCCAGTTCTTCGTCCGATTCGAGTTCAGACCAAAACGAAAAAGATTTTGACAAACTCTCAGAAAGTTATGGAAGAGAGAGATCTCGTGAAAAGTTCCCCAAATATGAGACATCGAGTAATTGGATGGATGTGTCGGATGTGGACAATGGATGGCTGTCCTCACTCTTGGGCTATAATCGATGGCCGCGACCGCCGCCGCGAAGACCGATGGCTTTTATGAACAGTCCTAATGAGCACATGTTATACGCGTCGTCGCATACAAACCCAATGGGTTTGGAAAACCAGGCGCTAATGTACCCACACCTGCGGCCTAACCCGCATTGGATGACTGGACTCAACGCTATGCGGCCGACGGCTTCTGCCATTAGACCCGTTTACACACTCAGCAGTTTGTTTGGCTACAGACGCCCTCCGATGGCGGCTCCGGCCACTCATTATCTCACACGACTCAACCCCTCCTTAAGCCACCCGAACCCCAATATGTCTCCGATGGCTATTAAGTCCGCGTACGGAGGTTTGAGTCCACAAATGATGGGTTTNTATGCGGCCGACGGCTTCTGCCATTAGACCCGTTTACACACTCAGCAGTTTGTTTGGCTACAGACGCCCTCCGATGGCGGCTCCGGCCACTCATTATTTAACACGACTCAACCCCTCCTTAAGCCACCCGAACCCCAATATGTCTCCGATGGCTATTAAGTCCGCGTACGGAGGTTTGAGTCCACAAATGATGGGTTTGCCGAGTGTCTCATACCCGGTGAAGGTTCCCTATTCGCCATTTATGATGTACGGTCTTCGCCGGCCAATGGGTGTCCATTGGGGCGGTTCTGATCTGGCCTTCGCTGAGAGCACTCGCAACACAAGCAATAGCGTCGACTCCGCCACTAAATGGGCCAATAATTTCAAGGAAGACATTCAGATGTCCGGCTCTCACGTCCAGCCGACGTACGTCTTGCCCAACGCCGACCCGACAGCCAAATCAATCAGCGCTTCCACCGCTCAAAACAAGCCGCCAATCATTATATATCAGGGACTCAGACCCCCGGTTCACGTCTACAAACAGCCAAACCTAACCGTTAGAGACAACTCGGAAACGCAGCAAAACTTGTTGTCAGCCCTCCAGCAGTTGGAGGCCATGAAGAACACCGTGTCGTCGGACGTGACCACCGACTCGACGACCGCCGCCGTCGTGTCCACAGAGAATCCGTACTATCAGTTCTATTCCACTGAAGAGGCGATCCAATCATACGATGATAACAGCTATAAGACTGGTTCCTCTTTTTATATCAATGATAACTCAGCCTTTTCTCCAAGACAT